CCCAGTGCAGGTATGCAGTCAAGTTTTCTTTTTTATGGCTCAATAGCGTTCCATTATACGCACACACCACATGTTGTTTATCCTTTCAACAGTTGATGGAGATGTGAGGTGTTTCCACTTTTTGGCTACTATTAATGCTGCTGTGAACGTTTGTGTACAAGTTTTTGTGTGAACATGTTTTCAGTTCTCTCGGGTATATACCTTGGAGTGAGTCATAAAGTAATTTTATGCTCACCTTTCAGAGGAACTGCCAAACTTTTTCAAAGTGGCTGCAGTTTTACATCTATCCAAAACATTCTGATGCATAATTTTTGTTTTTATTCGACTCTACAAATTTCATAATTTTTTTATGACTTCTCTTGTAACCCATGAATCGTTTTTTTGAAGTGTTGAAATTTCCAAACTGAAAAGGCTTTTCTGGTTATTTTTCTTTTATCAATTGCATTAACTGATGCGAGAATGTTGATTGAATCCTTTGCTGAGGCTAGCTAGCTTCATGACTTAGTGCTATGGTTACTTTTTTTTTTTTTTTTTCCTTTTTGTCTTTTTTTCGTGTCCGGCAACGGATCGCAACCCTCAGTGTCGCGCCCGCACCGGACCGGGACCGGCAACAGGATCGCAACCCTCGGTGTTGCTCCCACCCCTCGCTCAGCCAGTGAGCAGGAACGGGTCTGTATGTGGGATCCGAACCCTCGGCGGGAGCGCCACCGCGCTCCCAAGCGGCGCACTGCAGCAGTGCGCCACCGGGCTGGCCCCGACTTTTAAGATCTATTCATTTCACTGTACAAGGGTACTTCAAAAAGTTCGTGGAAAGGTTCCTATTATCTTTTAATTCTATTTTCCCATGAACTTCAAGAAGTTCCTTCGTATATAAGTTACATTTCAACACAAAAGTGCAAAACCATTCTTCCTTCTTGTAGATCTGTCCATTTCTTCTCTATATACTTTGAGGCTGTTATTAGAGTTATGCAAATTTAGAATATTGCTAGTTAACTGAAATTTTCCTGCTCTTTTATATGCACACAGAATGCGTCCTCCACAGTCATACTGTTTTATTATTTTATTTTATTTTAATCTTTCACTTGCAGTGCTTCAGCATGTGGACCTGTCTTGCTATTTGGGGGTCATGTGCAGCCACATAACTAGATGCATGTGACTGACTGGAAGTCGCTATCTTGTCACTTCGGCATCCATACCTCGCAGGCTTCCAGCTCAGACTTCTTCTCAGAACTCAGCCAGCATTTGTTCGTGTGCGAAGCAAATGCTCAGCCAAAACAAAATGCAGCCCGAAGAAGGTGAAGAGTGGGGGGGTTTGCAGGTGCTCACACTCCAGACAGGCAAACAAGGAAGGCTTGGTAAGAAGGACTCAGACCTCAGAAATAGGTTCTACACGAGGCGTACCGCATAAGGGAGAAAACACCTCAACTTTATGTCGGTGATGGCCCGTCTGTCGGAGGGCCGAGGGCGGGAGGAGGGTAGAGGACAGGGAGCAAAAGGGTTGGGAGCAGCAGCCTCGGCCTCAGGAAGCTGGGGTTTAGGTAGCAGATGGCTGAGTCTGATCCACGCCGGCTATTTTGAGGCTCGGCCTCTCTCCCTCTGTCACGTGGTGCAAAGGGAAGGCGCCATTTGAAGCGTCCAAATCCTGAGTGGCAATAGTTGATGGAGGTGAGATGGGCATGGGTGTGTCTGTGGTCACTGTTGGGTACGCGCGCTGTCCAATTCTGCCACGCCTGAACTAACGAACCCAAAGCAATGGCGGGTTCATACTACCTGCAGTCATTCCCTGGGGAGAGGGCCAGGCGCCGCCCAATTCTGGGCTTTTATTGGTCAGGCCAAGAAAAACGCGAGAGGGACAACAAACAGCGTCCTTCTGATTGGTCGATTCCTGCTAGTTCTCAAGTCAATCAAAGTAGAATTACCACACCCCTTACCATTCTCTGGCTCCAGGGGAAGACCTATTCAGTAGCGGGAGGCAAACCGTGCCTCTCTTCTGAGACCACCGCATAGTAACACTCCCTGCTTTCCTCCTCCGCCGCCATCTCCTCCTAACATATTATTTCAGTTAATAAAAATTCCCTCTTCTTCACAAAAAGAGTTGTTTCATTAGTATATTGTAAGAAGTCTGCGTTTAGGTGGTTGACGCGAAGGAGGGGAAGAGGTGCCCTGTTCAGCCCGCCAACCTTCTAAACCAGCATGTACCGCCTCGGGTGTCTGGCAGCGTGAGAGCATTTTGTGTGACTTTTGGTCCCTCGCGGCCCCTGTAGCGTCCCTAGTTACCGAGCCCCTAGTAACCGCCCGCCCCCAGCAAGGAGCCGCCAGGTCGCCTGAGGCAGCGCCGGCTTACCCGCCCCGGGCCAGCGCGGGCGCTCAGGCCTCGGAGGCGGGGTGATGGCCGCCTCGCACCGAGCGGCGAAGTTGGTGTCCTCCAGTCTCCAGACCCCGGTAAATCCCAGCACCGGAGCGCGGGTCGCCCAGTACGAACGCGAAGACCCCTTAGCAGCCCTGGCGGCAGCGGCGGCGGCCTTGGAGGAGGAAGAGAAGGAGGTGGAGCAGCCCGCGGGGCCGTCGGTAAGCAGGAACCGGACGTGGGCTGGGACTGAGCGCCGGCGGGGTGCAGGCTTAGGGCGGGTCTGGGTCCCCGCCCGGCTGAGGACCGGGTGGGAAACGCGGTACCTGTGCAGATCCTCTCTACCAGGTGATCTGTCCCACCAACTTCTCTCAGCCCCCACGGAAAAGACTCAAAACCGAGGCACTGAAGTCTTTTAATTTTCTCCAGAGAGATTGTTGTAAAAACTTCTTGGACAGCATTTATATTACTCTATTTCTAGAGAGTGCAAAGTACAGAACTCTACTCTACTCTCCAGCATTTGTTGGTAATAGATATTTCCTTTTTTAAAAACTTGAGGGAAACCGGTCTACCCCATAGTGAATAACCCATAAGAACTCAGGTGAATCAGCTGTGCGGTCGGGTGTGTGAGCAGATCTTAACACAATACATTAGAGGTGCGTGTTTAAAATCATCAAGAGTTCAGTGGATAGATCAGGCACAGATATCGATAAGCATCCAGAGAAGCAAATTACTGAGGTTCCATTGTTTCTTAAATGGCTCTTCAGAGTGGATTGAGAGCCTTTTACTGATCAATTTTCAGAGTCAAATGTGTCATGGATACCTGTCCCATCAGGTAGGGGGGCAGAGTCTGCCATCTGTTGGATTCACTAAGAAGATTGGGAGCCTTGAATACAAACTAGCAATCTGCAGATATAAACCTTACCTCCAGTTAAAGTTTCTTAATACCATATGCCCAAAGCTTCCCAGCTACAAAACATGCTCTATGGCTAATAGAAATCCCTGGATATTTTGGAATTCCAATCTCTTTATTCTACACTAAAACTGTTAATGAGAAAATCTGTAGCAACACCTTTTATGGTCAATATTTCACCAACAAACAAATATCTTGAAATTATCCAGAGTAAGGCAGATAGAGACTCCGAATGTGAACCAGAAACCGGTTTCATGATAAAGCTACCCCTCAACACAATTTGCAATAGGAAACAAAGAAGGCAAAGTGATGGAGGAAAAAGATTTGAATTGAGGAAAAGGATTTGGAGTCCTGGATTAGGATCCATTCTCATTCTCTGCCATTTGCTAGGTGATGTTAGGTCATAACTTTCTTCAATCTCAGTTTCCTTGTCTATAAAAGAACTGTAAAATTGTCTCTCTTTCCTATCTCACTTGGCTATAAGAATCAAATGAGGGAATGTGTGTCTCATTTAAAGAGCAGTTTATATAAGTAATTAATTAGTAATATAGATTAGTAATTAACAACTGCCAGTGGGACCGTCATTTGAGTGACTCACCCAAAGATTAAATTCTGCTTTGGTGTGCTGTGGTAGAGGAGTTGCAGTTATACTTCCAGAGGGCCATGTTAAACTGCAAATTTGTATTAGAAACTGGTATTACCTTAGGAGAGATCAGTTTATACAATAAGCTAGTTTCAAAAGGGCAGGATCCTACAAAAAAAAAAAGAAAAGAAAGAAAGAAAGGAAGCTAACTCTTATGAGTTTGATACTGTTCTTAGAACGCCACACATATAGGATCCAAAAGTAAACCTGGGTAAGCTGCCACAGTAGGCCTGATAACCAGAGGGCAGTGGGGCTAGGGAAAGAAGCACTGACAAGGCAGGAAAGAGAGTGCAGGAGCCAGGCTTTGCATTCTTTACAGGTTGGCTTGGTTCTCCATCTTGATTTCTAAAGGTTAATAAAAAGTAGTAAACGCAGATACCATACCTACCACACAAGACTGATTAGAGGACCAACTGTCACAATAGGCCTCTTTCAGTCTTTTGGTTTTGCCAAAGCCAGACTACCCACCACACCCCAACCCTCCCCCCCCGCCATCATACACATATCCCTTACAGGATTCTGTGCCCATATTGGGCACTGACACATGTTCCTTGAATCTAGCCTTAGTAAGAGATACCAGCTCATAGGTCCTGTTATGTGGCTGATGATAACATGGGTAAAGTAATAGTCTATAATTCATAGTTAAAAATCTCACTGAATTTCCTAATGGGGACCTTCTCTTTTTTCAGCAAATACTGAGCATTTATTAGGTGCTAGTCACTGACTATTCAGTGGTGAATGAAACAGCTGTAGCTCATATCCTCATTGGGGAAGTTAGACAATGAAAAATAAAGTAAAATGATTCTAAGAAGGGGAATGGTGGGAAAAAAATAAACAGGCTACTATAATTCAAAAAAGACAGAGGAGGGAACCTCCTTAAATGAGTTGTTAACATTTAAGACCATGCCTGATGGATGAGAAAGAGCAGCCATTTGAAGAGTGGAGATGAGAAGAGCATTGCAGGCAGAGGGAAACAGCATAGGCAGAGGCCCTGAGGTAGGAAGAGAAAGAGTTTTGAGTAGTTAAGGATCTGAAAGGAAGCCAGCAGGACTGTATAAGGGGGAGGAAGAGTGGGAGGTGAGACTGGAGAGATCACTCTGATGGAGAATGATTGGAGAGTTTGGCAAAGCAAAAGGAAGGAGACTGCTTAGGAGGCTTTCAAGGTAATTCAGATGCCAGAGGCTTGGACTTAGAGTCCAAGGATGATGGCAAGATGCAGACAGATTTCTCTGAAATGGGTAGGGCTTACTATTGGATTGGATGTGAGAACCAAGATAGAGGAAGGAATCAAGGATGCTCATTCCCAGGTTTCTGGTCGGAACAACTGCATGGAATATAATGCCATTTACTGAATTGGGGATGACTTGGGGAGGAATAGTTTTGAGGGATAGGTGGGAATCAATGTTTTGGTTTTGAGCATTGTAAATTTGAGATGCCTGTGAAACTTCCAGGTAGAAATGTCTAGGTAGAAGTTGGGCCTATGAAACTGGAGTCCTGTGGGGTCTGGGCTAGACATTATAACTGGGAGTTTTCAGCATTTCTAAAACAATGGGTGTGGACCAGGTCACCTAGGGACAAAGTGCAGAGAAAGAAGAGAAGGGGACTAGTGTAGAGTTCTTAAGAACCTCAACATTTAACTGTTAGGCAGAGAAAAAGGGGGGCAAAAGAGATTAAAGAGCAGCTACTAAGGTAGGAGGAAAATCACAAGAGTGTCCCACATTCATTGTTTTTAATAATGAGGGAAAGTGTTGAATGCTGCTAAGAGAGGGGACATTTTATCCCTGAAAGTGGAGGGAAGGAGAAAAGGGGCACAGACAGGATAGTTTTATAGATGGGAAGATGAGGGAACTTCCCCCTAATGGTTTCTGTTTTCTTAAAGATATAAAAGGACAGATCACAGATATGTATAATTAATATGTTTCAATTAAAAATAAAATTAATTAATTAATTAAAAGGTTTATTAGTAGGTGGTTGGGAGGTGGGGGTGGGAGCAGTTAGAGGAACAAGGGAAAGAAGCAGTATTGCTGGGGGATTGGGAAAGCCATCTTCCTGAAGGAACACAGGAGGTGCTGGGCAGGCCAAGTGTCCTTTAAACACTATTCCGTGTTTAATTTGCTATTAATATTCACAAAACATTTTTTTCTTTTTTCCTTTTAAAAATTACATTTTATTTTATTTATTTATTTTTTTTGGCGGTTGGCTGGTAGGAATAGGAATTTAAACCCTCTCCCTTGGTGTTATAACACCATGCTCTAACCAATAGAGCTAACGGGCCAGCTCCTAAAGTTACATTTTAGTTATGACAATAATACATGAACACATTCTCCTTTTAAAATATCAAACGTTACATATGAAGCTTGGGCCCTTTTACACCTCTCCCCCCCAAAAGAAAACCTGGGTACCCCCTCCATCCCCTTTGGTAGCCACTATTTTGAAATTGATATGTATTCTATGCTTCTGGGCTTTTTCCTGTCCTTTGTATATAACATTTTAATATATGGTGGTATACTATGTAGATATGTATGTAGATGTATAATTTGGCAACTTGCTTTTTTCTCTTTTCATTGGGGATTTACCTATGTTAGTACATGGAGATCTGCCTCATTCCTTACAAATCCTTTTCAACAAAAAACATCTTTTTCTAAAAATTCTAGAATTGCAGGTGAAAATATATAGATTATTCACAATATATATAATACACATAATAATAGAATATAGATTATGCACAATTCTTTATGGGTGCTAATTACTAATAAAGCAACAGGTGCTGGAAGGATTCATTATCTAAATGGGTCAAGCTAATCTGGGGAAGATTATCCTCTAATCTAGTGGCTGCATTTATGACATTCCACAAAAAGCTGAACATTTAAAGGCAGAGAGTGCTATTTTCGGCTCTTGGAAAAATAATGACGATGGCCTAGGTTATTTGATATACTAAATATTTTCTGGGTGGAGACAATTAAAGATGAAATTAGAAGGCTGGCTAGTTAGCTCAGTTGGTTAGATCATGGCCCGGTAACACCAAAGTGAAGGATTCAGTTCCCCATACCAGTCAGCTGCCCCTGCCCCCCCAAAAAAGATGAAATTAAAATTGGAAGCCATAAATTAGCCATTCATCTGCTAATTATTCCATCTGTTTTAGGTAAAACACTGAGATCAGTTTATCTGAAAAGTTCAAGCTAGTGTTAACAGTATTAAGCTGAAAATGCAATGGATACTGTGTAAAAGTCAGTGCATACGTATAATTTGTCAGATGTGCCACATCTCTTCAGAAGCTACTCTATATCTTTTTTTTTTTTTTAAATAAGAAATTTCTAAGATGTTGTTGGGGAAGGGGAAGAGGCGGGTGGGGCTGGCTCCATTGCTGGCTTGGGGCAGGGGGCAGGGCTGAGTCTCTCAGGACCCTGGGGTCTTCTGGCTCCAGCTCCAGCCTCCATTTTATATCTTTTTCAAACAATCTTTCCAGATCCAAGTAAATTTGATCTTCATGTAAATGATTGCTATAAGACCATCTTTTAAGAGAGATTCTAAATGAATGAATGAGAGCACATGGATGCTTTTGCCTAAAAATAGTTCTTAGGAAAACCCTTCCTGTTTTAATTATTGTTTTTGGAACATAGACCTTTTCCTTAATATTTAGTAGAATATAGCTCTTTAGAGCAGCCAGTATTTCTTTATATGATTCAGTCCTTTGTGAGGGAATAACTGTTCTCTTCCCTTGGTGGAAACTTGTATTTTTTTTTTTTTTTTTTTTTTTTTTGGTGGCTGGCTGGTATGGGGATCTGAACCCTCGACCTTGGCGTTACAACACCACACTGTAACCAAATGAGCTAACCAACCAGCCCTTGTATTTTTTTTAACTGTACATTAATTTGTTCAACAAGTATTTATTGAACATCTGCCACTGGCCAGGTACTTTTTAGACACTGGGGACACGACAGTGAACAAAGCAGACAAATCTCACCTTAGTAATGCTTACTTTTTTGGTAGTGACAGGCATGCAATACACAAACAAGTAAAGATACATAGAATGTCAGTTGGTGGTGAGTACTTCTGGGAAAAATAAAGCAGAAAAGGGGGCCTGACAGTGAGTGGAGGGTGGAGCTGTAATTTCAAATAGGGTAGTCAGTGGAGACCTTGTTGAGAAGATGACATTTGAGTAAAGACCTGAAGGAGTGAGCAAGTGGGCTGTGCAGATATCTGGAGGAAGAGTGTTCTAGGGAATGGGAACAGCAAGTGCAAAGGCCCTGAGGTAATTCTGATTCTTCAAGTGTTGGAAACACTGTAAACTGGATTCAGCCACTGTTAGTAAAATGAACTGCTGCCACCCAGATGAAGAACTGTTGCTGGGCTATCACAAGCAGACAAAAGTGGACAGAGAACTAACAGGAAGGAGAAGTCCCTTCTTTCTCCTCCAGCCTTGCAGTCTCCCTCTAGCCTCACTTTTGGCAGAGTCTAATGGGGAGCAGCTGGCAAAGCAGAAAGGTGGTTTGCAGAGCTCCAGCTCTAGCATCACAAAGCAGAGTGGTGAAGGCATTGAAGCTGAGACAATAATTTAACACCTAAAACACCTACTTTACATATCTTAAAGCCAATGCTCAAGAGGTTAGTGCCTACATCACATTGCTAAGAGGTACAGAGCCCAGGCTTGAATGGGAATTCTGACCCCACATCTGTAGTCTTTCTCCCAAGCCATAAGAACCCTCCCAACTGAAAAGTTATTTAACATCCGTCCAACTTTTTTTTCCTTTTTTTTTTTTTTTGCAGCTGGCTGGACCCTGGACCATGGTGTTATCAGCACCACGCTCTAGCTAACTGAGCTAACTGCCAGCCCCCAACGCTTTTATCTTTGAAGGGTCATAAGGGGGCTGATAGCAGGTGACTAATGGTCAGGAGCCAGTGGTAGACAGGAAATGGAAACACCTTCCCGCTTATCCTAACTTCCCTTTCCAGGCTTACTTCCTTTTCCAGGCTTGCTTCCCAAAACTGCTTTATGCGTTTTACTCCCCGTTTATCCTGCAGCTGTGTGCATCTTGCTCTCCACTATGCACACACACACCCCTGCTACTTTTGCTAATGTCATTTCCTTTGTCTAGAGTACCTTTCCCCATTTCCCATAAGCTCTCTTTGATCCTCTAGATTTTTTGATTCTTTGTGACTTAGCTCAAGTATCACCTCCTACAGGAAGCTTTCCCTTACCTTCCAAATTCAAACCAGCAAAAGTTCTCCTCCTTTGAGTACCCTTATCACTTGGTTTTTGCATCTCTTGTGACCACTCTCTACCTCCTACAGTGTTAGTCCTCCTTTGGCTGCTATTTAAATGTTGGTGTTCTCCAACATCTCCATCCTTGGGTTCCTCTCATCTTGTTGCCCATACTCCCCAGGCAGCCTCCTCCACATCCAAGGCTGCACCTGCCATTTCTGTGTGCATTGCTGGTTCCCATACCTCCATTTCTAGCCCAGCCTTCTTACCAGGTCTCCAGACATATAATCTATTTCCTTGACTTCTCTGACTGCTTCACTATCCCCTCAAATTTAACGTGTCTAAGACAGAGCTTAGTTTCCTTTCCCTAAAACACTCTCCTCCCCTGTGTATATTAATGAATGGCAGCACCTCTATCTACCTAGACAGACATCACTTCAAACAGAAAATAAATCTTTTCAGTTCCTTGCTCCCAATCCAGGTCATTATCGAGTTGGTGATTCAATCTTCTAAATCTCTCAAGGCAGCCTCCTTGCTTTTGTCCTTGGTACTGCTCCCTTAATTCTGCCCTTAATATCTAAAACACATCTAGGTAATAGCCCACTAACTGCTGCCACCCTTCCTTTACTCCACCCTACTTGCCACCAGAAGAATCCTGAGCATTATGTCACTCCCCTTCCTGACATCCTTCAATGCTGCTATTACATGCAGCCTGGCCTCCAGGCTCTTGGATGGGGCTCTTGACTTGCCTTTTTCACCTCATTTCGCACCCCTCCTGTGTACATGTTACCTGTTCCCCATCCCCACTCATCACTATTTACCTCTCTCTGAGCATACCATGCCTGTTCTCGCCTCTTATAGCTAAAAATTCCTCCCTGCCCTTGGGAGGAGCATGGTATATCTTTGATACCTAACACATTTGGGATTGAATCCTAGCTCTGCTGCTTACTAGTATGACTGCAAGCAGGTCACCTACCTCTTCTGAGCTTCAGTTTCCTCATTGAGAGCAGAGTACCTGCCTGTTGAGTGGTTGTGAGATAACATGATGGATGCTCTAGCACTGTGCCTCAGATATTTTTGTTCCTTTTTCACTGTTTTCCTGATCTGGTAGACTTTGTCCTCATCCAACCTTCTGTCTCCAGTTGGCTCACTTCTGCAAATTCTGCCTCTTCATCTCATAGTGTCTGATATCACAACATACATGGTCATGCATCTGTCTCTGTGCTCAGTTGGAAGCAGCTTGTAGAATCAGGAGTTCTGTCTCATTCTTTTTTTCTTTTTTTTTTTTTTTCATGGCTGGCAGGTATGGCGATCCAAACCCATGACCTTAGTTTTATAATGCTATGCTCTAACCAACTGAGCTAACTAGCCAGCCAAGTTCTGTCTCATTCTAAGTCTACTGTTGATTATGTACATGTCTTCTCCTAAACTAGCTGGATGCTTCTTGAAGGTAGAGTTTTTTTTTCATCTGATTTGTATCTTTCAGCAACTAGCTAAATGCTGGATGTCCCCCAGATATTTAATGAATGAGGAAATCAATAAAGTACTCATCCCATGATAAGGTAATGGCAGGGAGCACATACATAAACAACAGAAGATAATTAAAGTTGTTTGACATACATAAAGCAGGTCTCTGATCATAGATTTGTTGGTAACAAATTTCTCCTTGTCAATTCTGTTGAAGAAAACTTGTTTTCTTTCATTTGTTTCCTCTGAGTTACCCCAAGTGGCATAACACTGGCCTCTTTACATGCTTTTAGCCCATTAAAAAACACCATATTTATAACTATTATTTATAATTGACTTTTCTGAATTTTCCTGTTGGGAGAAGCTAAACAGATTTATTTTCTAGAGTGTTATCAGATTGTATCTATAGTTTTCTTTTCTTTCTCTTTTGGTAGCTGGCTGGTACAGAAATCCGAACCCTTGACCTTGGTGTTACTAGCACCACACTCAACCAACTGAACTAATTGGCCAGCCCTGGATCTACAGTTTTCTAGAGCAAATATGCATTTTTCATTTTGAGTTTGTTCCAGACAGGCTAAATTTAAAACCATGGTTGGCAGCCTTTTATTCATAGTATTGTAAATAGTTTCAACTGTTTTTCAACTGAGAACATACTAAAATTTTATATTATGGAGAAAATGGAGTTTTATCTCTTTACTTGCTTCAACTAAAAGAGTTGAAAGGTATGTAAAAGGATTGAGGGGAAAAGTCCAGTCAGACCCTTCCAGGCATGACCTATGTATAGAACAACTACAACCTCCTTGTTCTGATGTCATTCCCAAAGTTGCTGTCACCCACGGGAGCTACAGCTCTTGTTGCCCACAGGAGCAGCTGTTCTGAAAGTCCCTCCCGCTCTCTCCCATGGTCTCTTTTTTTTTTTTTTTGTCTTTTTTCGTGACCGGCAACGGATCGCAACCCTCAGTGTCACGCCCGTACCGGACCGGGACCGGCAACGGGATCGCAACCCTCGGTGTTGCACCCGCACCTCACTCAGCCAGTGAGCGGCCGGTCTGCACGTGGGATCCGAACCCTCGGTGGGAGCGCCGGCACACTCCCAAGCGGCGCACTGTAGCAGTGCGCCACCGGGCCGGCCCTCTCCCATGGTTTCTTACTCCCTCTTGAGCTCTTGCCTCATTGCTGGGAGGGCTTCTCCCTGGCTCCTTGATAAGCCACCAAGAACTTTGTCCCTGCTCCCCCATTCCATCCTCCATCCTCCTGCCTTCTCTCCACTGGCACATCTTGGGAGCCACACTGCAGGAGCCCAGCCCGACAGGGGAAGGAGCACACTGGGCTGTGGTTGCTTCGTTTGCAGCAGGAGGAACTGTGTTCCTCTTCATCTCAGTTAAAATTTACAACTCAGAAGGAGGCTCATTATAGAAACCCTTTGTAAAGTGTGGTTTGGCACTATCCTATTACAGCGTGAATATAATGAGTTAAATACCTTTTGTTGGTTGATCTGGGAATCTAATCTTTTATTAAATGGATTAAAAGACATTTATCTTCTGGCAATTTGGTCTTGTTCTCTCTTGTTCATAAAATATCATTGGGGGAAAATGTACACAGCCCACAAGTAACCCATTATATGTACATAGCCCACAAGTAACTAATAACCTAACTAGGTGGACTCTTTAAGATAGTAGCATTTGGGTCAGTATCAGCTTAATTTGCCTTTCAATTCCAAACACCATATAACGGGTGTTTTCCCCCCACCAGGCTAATTTTAACACCAACTCTTCTGGGGTGGATGAACATGCACCAATAAGCTATGAGGACTTTTTGAACTTTTCTGATGTTTACCACTCTAATGAAGAGTATTTCAGGAAACTAGAAGAGCTGAAGGCTGCCCACATAGAAACTATGTCAAGATTAGAGAAAATGTACCAGGATAAATTAAATTTAAAGGAAGTTCAGCCAGTGATCATCAGGGAAGATGTTTCTAGTGTTTCTTCCAGGTAAGTTTGCACTTAATGTCATTTGTGGACTGTAAAATAAAATGTATATTTAAAAGTGCAGAACAAAATTTTTCAGAATATTTTTCCTTAAATATCCCTTTGCACTTTTTTTTTTTTGGCATCTGGCCAGTATGGGGTTCCAAACCCTTGACCTTGGTGTTATTAGCTCCATGCTCTAACCAACTGAGCTACCTGGCTGGGCTGTGGTTGCTTCGTTTGCAGCAGGAGGAACTGTGTTCCTCTTCATCTCAGTTAAAATTTACAACTCAGAAGGAGGCTCATTATAGAAACCCTTTGTAAAGTGTGGTTTGGCACTATCCTATTACAGCGTGAATATAATGAGTTAAATACCTTTTGTTGGTTGATCTGGGAATCTAATCTTTTATTAAATGGATTAAAAGACATTTATCTTCTGGCAATTTGGTCTTGTTCTCTCTTGTTCATAAAATATCATTGGGGGAAAATGTACACAGCCCACAAGTAACCCATTATATGTACATAGCCCACAAGTAACTAATAATCTAACTAGGTGGACTCTTTAAGATAGTAGCATTTGGGTCAGTATCAGCTTAATTTGTCTTTCAATTCCAAACACCATATAATGGGTGTTTTCCCCCCACCAGGCTAATTTTAACACCAACTCTTCTGGGGTGGATGAACATGCACCAATAAGCTATGAGGACTTTTTGAACTTTTCTGATGTTTACCACTCTAATGAAGAGTATTTCAGGAAACTAGAAGAGCTGAAGGCTGCCCACATAGAAACTATGTCAAGATTAGAGAAAATGTACCAGGATAAATTAAATTTAAAGGAAGTTCAGCCAGTGATCATCAGGGAAGATGTTTCTAGTGTTTCTTCCAGGTAAGTTTGCACTTAATGTCATTTGTGGACTGTAAAATAAAATGTATATTTAAAAGTGCAGAACAAAATTTTTCAGAATATTTTTCCTTAAATATCCCTTTGCACTTTCAGGGAAGATGTTTCTAGTGTTTCTTCCAGGTAAGTTTGCACTTAATGTCATTTGTGGACTATAAAATAAAATGTATATTTAAAAGTGCAGAACAAAATTTTTCAGAATATTTTTCCTTAAATATCCCTTTGCACTTTTTTTTTTTTGGCATCTGGCCAGTATGGGGTTCCAAACCCTTGACCTTGGTGTTATTAGCTCCATGCTCTAACCAACTGAGCTACCTGGCCAGCCTGTACTCTTAATGATACAGGGAGGTGGAATTTTATTCAAAATGTTTAATGGCTTATTAGCTTACTAGGTGACCTCATGCTTTGAGTGTCATTTGGTGGCCTTTTGGTCTTTTCTCTCTGACTCACCATTCATAGAACTGTAAACATGTATCAAAATACTAGTCGAGGCCATTTTAAATAATGAATATTAAAGTTTTATTTTATTTTATTTATTGGTCGTTGGTTGATACGGGGATCTGAACCCTTGACCTTGAGGTTATAACACCATGCTCTTAACCACCTGAACTAAATGACCAGCCCCCTAAAGTTTAATTTTAAAAGCTGTTTATAATATGTATAATATGTGGATTAAAGATCTAATACAAAGATTTCATCACTAGGAGACGTGAATCTGATTTATGTTTTCAAAAAAGTCTGTAATTTCAAGACCCATTTCTGTTGTGAACTTGCATTCTTTGAATCTTGAGGCAAGTCCTTTATCTCATCCAGTCAGTGCTGATTGCTCATCTCCTGTGTGCCAGACCATTCCTGGGCACTGAGGAGTCAGAAACAAGATGCCCTCAAGGAACTCAGAGACTACCAAGGACCAAAAATTGCATCACAACATGTTGTAAAAGAGTGTTAAGGAAACAGAGGAAGAAGCAGTTGATCGTGCCAAGGTGTCGTGGAGGGATGTAGGCAAGAATTTTCCACCAAAGTGTCACATCTGAGTTCAGTCTTGAAGGAGGAGTAACAGGTACAGCAGATGCAGGAAGCAAGGGGTGGCCTTCTAGGCAGCAGAAGCCAGATGTGCAAAGGCAAGGCAGCGTGAGAAACCAGGGTGTGTGTGAGGAATTTCACATGACTAGAGATGACTTAACAGTGGTGACTTGGGGGAGGAAGTGGCAAGAGGTGTAAGACTGGACAGGTGGGCAGGAGACAGTCTTGAAGGGCTTTATAATCTAAACTTTATTTTGTAGCAATGAGCAATCATCAGAAAGTTCAAGCAGGGGAGTGACATGATCAGGTGTATATTTTAGGTCAGTGACTCTGGAAAACGCATGGAGACTTTTATAGAGGTTAGGCACAAGGAGTTCTGCCATCTCAGGCTCCTCTTCTGTCAAGTAAAGGAGTTGGACTAGATAATTTATAGGCTTCTCCCAGGCCTTCTCTAAATAAAAGTGATCATTTTTTACAAGCCTTATCCAGCTCCTCTTTTTTACCTAATTATACCCTTACCTTAGAAAATATATAACACTATCTTAATTTTTATATTTGGTCACATACAATTGAAAGTGTAACTTAATCATTCTTCTCACTTAGATCTTTATCAGAAAAGAACTCCTATCACCCTGTCTCGGTAGTGACATCATTTTCGGAGCCTGATTTAGGTCACTCTCCCACCTTGTATACATCTTCCTCTGAAGAAGAGTTGCCCAACTTAGAAAAAGAGTATCCCAGGAAAAACAGAATGATGACCTATGCTAAGGAGCTCATCAACAACATGTGGAAAAACTTTTGTGTTGAAGATTATATTCAGTATAAAGATACTGACTTCCAAGCAGTTAGAAAAAAAAGGAAGAAACAGAAAGAATGGGTGCCCACGATTACAGTACCTGAGCCTTTTCAAATGATGATTAGAGAACAGAAGAAGAAAGAAGAGGCCATGAAATCTAAATCAGATATTGAAATGGCACATAAACTCAAAAAAGAAGAAGATTCAGAGTGTAAGAAGAAATTCCGAGCCAATCCAGTTCCTGCCAGTGTCCTTCTCCCCCTGTATCATGATTTAGTCAAGCAAAAAGAAGAACGGAGGAAGTCTATCAAGGAGAAAAACAAAGAAGCTCTTTTGGCCTTGCAAAAGCCATTTAAGTTTATTGCAAGAGAGGAACAGAAGCGAGCAGCCCGGGAAAAGCAGCTGGGAGACTTTTTTAAGTCTAAAAAGAAAACAAATCAATTTAAAGCCAGACCCATACCTCGATCTATTTATGGTTCAACTAGCAGTAACAAGTTAAAAGAAGAAGAGCTCTACAGGAACCTTAGGACGCAGCTGAGAGCCCAAGAGCTTTTGCAGAATTCATCCCCTCTGCCTCGTAGGTCAGCCTGCAGACGTTTCAGGAACCCCAAGTGTCCTGAACAGGCTGAAAAGTTGAAGTGTAAACACAAGGTTAGGGGCCGGACTCATGATTCTGAAGACCATCCTGAGGGATATCAGAAACAGCTTTCAGAATACAAGTGTCCAAAACTCTTAACAGTCTGTAAACCATTTGATCTTCATTCATCCTCACATGCATCTACTAAGAGAGAAAAAATTTTGGCAGACATTAAAGCAGATGAAGAAAATTTAAAAGAAACACGTTGGCCTTATCTGTCTCCAAGGCATGAGTCACCAGTAAGAAGTGCAAGTGCAAAGTCCATGCCCTGTAACTGCAACCCTCCAATGCCCACAGTATCTTCCAGAGGACGAGAACAAGCCACCAGGTAAATAACAAGGACAAAACTGACCAACTCAGTTACTACACTAGTGTGTGCAGCTCTGTTGATTTTATGTTGATGAATTTGAAAATATTAAGAAATTATTATTATATCTGTAAGATATTTTACTCTATAATATAGAAGGAACATTTTGCTAGAGGGTGTTCTAAGAAACGAATGTATTTTCCATTTTATGAAACTTTGGGGATAGAAAAGTTTACAGTCAGCCTTGATTGGCTTTTCAATTTCACAAGTCAGATCCTTCTCAAAAGATTGCCTTTTTTCCAACTTTTGAATTATCCTATGTTAAATCTTTGCTAAATAACATTTTCATTGGCTTAAAGTGAATTAAACCTTAGTTTGTTGCCCTCAGGAAATCACTTGAGGAAAAGAAAATGTTGGAGGAAGAAAGAAATCGGATCCTAACTAAGCAGAAGCAAAGAATGAAAGAATTGCAGAAACTCCTGACAACCCGGGCTAAGGCTTATGACTCACATGAAAGTTTAGCTCAAACGTCTAAATCCAGAGTAAAATATCTCAGGTATCATCAAAGAATCCTGAATCTCCAGGTCATTGGTTTTCAAATTTTCTTTCTTTTTTTTTTTTTTCCTTTTTGTCTTTTTTCGTGTCCGGCAACGGATCGCAACCCTCAGTGTCGCGCCCGTACCGGACCGGGACCGGCAACGGGATCGCAACCCTCGGCGTTGCGGCCGCACCTCGCTCAGACAGTGAGCGGGAACTGGTCTGTACGTGGGATCCGAACCCTCGGCGGGAGCGCCACTGCGCTCAAATTTTCTCTTTCTTAAATCAATGGATAGCAAGATATGAACAGATTGAGAATGGTATATCTATTTTAGTCTATGGATTAAAATTATTCTTGGTTACTTACACTCAGCACACCCACACCCACCCCTTATGGTGAGAACCAACATATGTACTCACTTCTATGGTGAGAACCACAAAGCTATGTTGAAGAACAGAAATATTTTCTATTGTGGCCACAGTTAATAGTTGTAATCTTATATCAGCATCTAATCTTTTTCTTTATATTATTTTTGATTGCACCATAAATACAGTATTGAGAAAAATCTTGATTCACACAGATAAAGCTCTTTTTTAATAGCTTGCCATGTAATCTCAGAATATTTTTCAATAAACAGATATGTCGAACAGTTTTGTTCTAAGGTATGCATGAAATCTGATAGCACAAATTAACACATTGAGGTTAATTAACATCGGTTATGTGATGTGTTAACACATGTGTTAATGTTCACTAGTACATGTTGCATTTTTTTTATAGTTTCAGTATTAAAAAATAAAGATATTCACAGAATCCTTAGAACCCCTTCACAGAACCTAGAATTCTGCAGTACAAAGTTTGAAAATCAGTGTTCCAGATGTTGAACATAAAAATGTTCATGTTTAAGTAGAAAAATATCTCCCCCAAAGCCGGGTAAGTAATATGATTTATTAATTTTTAATCTGATTTATAAGAACCAAAATATATGTATTTGCTTTTAATTACAATGAGTATTCCTTTATAATATAGCATTAATTTATTGATAGAGGGAGCTTGATTTGATGACCTTGAGCAGAAAGTTCCTTAGAAATATACTATTAACCCTTGCGAAGTAAACTAGCTTTCTCATAACACCAACTTGTATATAATTAAGCATAATTATACTTTAAAGTATAATTATTTTCTCGAATCCATGAAATATTATTATCTTGATAGCGTTAATATATCTAACATACAGAAAATAGCATAGTTCAATTCATTATAGGATTTGGTCCAAAAAGTTAGTAACTTTATGGTAAATGTATGTATTTGGTTCCCATTCCTCTGTATGTTATATTCTCATGCTTCCCATTTCTCCCCTGACCTACTCTCATTTAATCAACTTTTTGCCACTAACCTTTTCATTATAGGATTTGGTCCAAAAAGTTAGTAACTTTATGGTAAATGTATGTATTTGGTTCCCGTTCCTCTGTATGTTATATTCTCATGCTTCCCATTTCTCCCCTGACCTACTCTCATTTAATCAACTTTTTGCCACTAACCTTTACGAGATCTCATTTAGGGTAAAAAATAAGAGCAAGGTCTTGTTTTCAGAGGAAATTTCTTAAGAGAGGCTATCTAATTTGGGACAAATTTTCTTGGTTTTATACACTTATAAATAATATAAGAGGGCATTCGTTCGTCTCTTCAGGCCAGTTTGAAACTCCTTCATACATTATTCCTTGAAGATTTCAGGAGTCAAAGTACACAAACTGTTCCCAGGGCATAAAATGTGTGTGCTCAGAACCTAGGATTTTTATTCAGCATTCCATGGGAATTCACATTCTAGAAAAGGCACCATGGTAAACTGTAAGCTGTGCTCATAATTTCTGATTTGTCATCTAAGCTACATATTATATATGCAAGTTCTTATTTCTTAGATGACCTTTTAAAATTTCATTCCTTTTATTTAATTTTAGAAAGAGTGAAAAGGAAAGGATGAGAGAATATCAACGAGAACTAGAAGAAAGAGAAGAAAAATTAAAAAGGAGGCCACTACTATTTGAAAGAGTTGCTCAGGTTGTGTTTGTTGGAATTTAAGAGCTATTGTCAGCTTTTTTTTTTTTTTCAACATCTTCAGCTCCTAAATATACAGTACATTTTTCCTATGTGTTATATAATTATTGAGACATTATTGTTGCTGTGACAGCTTTATCAAATCAGCCAAGTAAGTAATTTTGCTTAAAATCTGAACATTGAATCTTATTGATGAGGCACATAAGCTTAATAAAGTACATGATGCCAATCCAGTTGTTCTCACAATATTAGTTTAACAACCTGTTTTTAATGGCTGATCTTTTTCAGTACTAACTTGGTCACATATTAAGGTGAGGCTTCATGATATTATTTGTAAGTCTTTGAGGAATTAAAAATGAAACAAAATGGCTAATTGAATCAGATTTATTTCTATTTTTTTTTTTTTTTTGAGTCTCTAACTCAATCTTATCTACAATTACTAAAAGGACTTCCTTTCTGTAAGAACAAATTGGCCTTAAAGACAGTGGACCCTGATTTTACTAAATTTACACTGTTTTACAATCTTTTCCTCAGGGAAATGTATCAGTTTCATGTTGTCTTCTTTGTCATCATAAGGGAGGGGTTTATATGGGTGACATGGCTTAATAATAGATGACATCACTGGAGGTTACAGGTGCTATTTGGTGAATTTCAAGCTGTTATAATTGGAAAATAGACAATTGGAACACTTACCTGTGATAGTTGAGCATAGTCACAGGACTGTACTTACCAATCACTCACTGAGGACGATGGACGTATCTTGTGGGTTAATCTGAACCTTATAGTCTCTCCAAGTTGTATAATCCTTTTACTTACTGATTTTGATATAATTCTATGTAATTCTTTTTGTTTCCAGGGGTTGGGTTTTTTTTTAACATCTCAGTTTCAATTTAGGAAAAAAAAATCATTTTAAGCTGTTCTACATTATGCAGGATAAAGTGATTGGCTTTTGGTGCAAAGAAGTTACCTGCAGCTCCGAATTGCAAGTTTTTAGGTCTGCATCTCTGGTAATCTCTACCCATATTTCCCATAGGCAGATTACATTCATCTTGCCCCCATCTAGATCCTCCTCTTGATTTCCTACTTTAGTTGGGGGCATAATTTAGATGACTGGGAGCTACTTTTCCTCCCCATTCAGCTGGTCACTGAGAGACCTGTTAAGTTTTCTTCCTAAATAATTTTCAGATCTGATTTTCACCATCCCAGATGGTGAAATGCCAGGTAAAACCTCTATTATTTCCTATCTGAATTTTTATAATAGTTTCACTGGTCTTTCTGCCTTGCTCTTTGCAAAGCCATCCATTACATCTTCACCTTGCCCTTACCATTCCCCTGCCAAAGTAACTCTTGATAGTAGTGGCGATCGTCCATTCTCAACTGATTCCGTTCCTTCCCATTTTCAATGAATGTTATCAAGGGGTCTTGTTATTAATATCACCAAACAATACTATAAGGTAAGCCTCTCCATATTACAGATGATGAAGAAACTGAAGTTCAAAGAAGGTATGTAACTCATGAGGTTTACAGTTAGTAAATGGTAGAACTAGGATTTGAACCTAAGTTGATCTGCTTCTGAACACATAATCCTAAGCTGTCCTGCTTCCTTCCAGAAGATAAATCCACAAGTCTTAGCATGGTATACAGAACCTTCCGTGATCCCTGTTAACCTCTTTAGTCTATCTGCCATGGCACTCTCCCGCCACCCTGTCTTCTCCCCCATGTACACTCTTTACTTTTAGGCCATACCAAACTACTAGATTTTTAGTTTCTTTTTCTCTTTTTTGGGGGGCTGGCCAGTATAGGGATCTGAACCCTTACCTTAGATTATTAGTTTCAAACTTGAAGTCTTTATTCATGTTGTTTTCTAAACATGCTTAGAGCCTTTTTCTATCTTTACCTAACTTCTACCTGTTCATGTCTTAGTGTACAGTTGATTCTTGCATTGTTTCCCAAGGTCAGGTTGGGCGCCATTTTCCTCTGTGTTCTTTTCCTAGCCTGTGCACAAGTCTGTCTTTGTTCCTACCACATTGTGTGGCATTTATCTGTGTAATGGTCTCTTCCTTCTAGCTAATTAATTTTAAGGGTGGTGGTCAAATGTATGCCTGGCATCTAGCACCTAAGACAATGTCTGGCACAGTGGAGATGTTAATAAACATTTGTTGAAGCCAAACTGAGCAACTGTGATCAAATTAGCCAGATAATGACATTATATTTTCTTCCTGGGGTTAGCCCAGTCTGAGAGCATTACTACTCTGACATAGTAGCAATGAATGTCAGCATTAATAAGCAGTTTTGTTATGCTGTGAATTTCTACCGTTTCTAAGCACCAGAGAAAATGTGGGAAAATAAATGCTGTGTGCGAAATTAAGCCCACAAAGTAATTTTAAATATTGAAAACATAGATTATTTTTATAATTTATGAAACATTTGGCCCTCACATATGCTGTTTCCTTTGCCCAAAACACTTTTCTCCCCCCATATGCCCCTACCTCCTGTTAGGCCTTGTTATAAAATAAGTTTTCAGTAATTATTAAATAAATGAAAGAATTACTATAAACTAAGCTTCTGATTATAAAAAATAAATATTTTTTCCCTTCAAACGAGGGCAATTATTATAGACAAACTTTCATCATCAATTGTTATTTTAGTTCCTGGAAGAAACAAAGCTAATCTTTTTTGGAAGGATCTTTGATAGTAAAAAAAAAAAAAATAACCATACAGTTGTTTTAACTGTTCCTTTTATTTCATAGTCTTTACAGTTCTTTTGCATAGTGAAATGCAGAGGGGAAATACTTGTTCTAATTAGGAACAATTACACATTAGTCTTCTTGATGCAAAATATTAAAAGCTAATTAATTATATATATACAAAGTGACCGTGGCCAGTAGATCACCATTGCTTTGGTTTTGTTAACATAAATTAGAACATTTTTTTCTTGCAGTCTATTTTGCTATGACTATTGCTGCTAATTAACAGCTATTATTTGTTTGTTTGTTTTTGCTGGCTGATACAGGGATCAAACCCCAGACCTTGGAATTGTCAGCTCCATGCTCTAACCATCTGAGCTAATAGAACACAATAGCTGTAGTTTAATAAATTTACTTGCAACTTTATGCATTGTCCATTTATAGGAGTTGATTGATCACACTGTTGTTATCCCCTAACAGAATATGCCTATGATTCATTACACAGCAACCATGTTGTCTTGTTTGGAGATCACAGGGTTTATTAACTGAGTAGATGTTAAATTGAATTTTAATGTTAAATTCAGATGAAGCCTTACTAGCATTAACTTTGATTAATATCTTTTAAATCTCTTTTATATTTAATCTGCTTAAATCAGAATATGCTGTACTTAATGCATTCAGAGTTAGGTTTGGGGTTTCTTTAATCTCTATAGTCTTCGGAGCATAGTTCTCATTTCTTACTCTGCCATGACTTTCAATTCTGCAAGGCTTGTCTCTTGGTATTCACAGCACCTGAATGCATTTTTACTTACTTTTCTAAAAATTGTTCTTATTCAAAGTGGGTACATTTTAGCAGCAGTTTGAGTGCTGCTTTTTCAGTTTTTCAGAGTATCAGTAATGCACTGGTGATAGTTTTATCCATTATAATCTATCTTTGTTATTTTCGTTTCTCCTGTGGAACCCTAGACTCCACGGTCCCTCATTATGCTGGAGTCCCTAGATTAGGCAAATTTCTGCATTGCTGAAGTCAGGCATTAGGCCACCTTCAAGCTCCAGGATGACCACTACCACTTAGAGAAAGCAGCACAATGGAGTAGAAAAGACCCAGGAAAGGGTCAAGAGACTTGGTCCTACCACTCACTAGCCTTGTGACCTTAAGCAAACCATTTAACCTCTGGGGGGCTCTTGGTTTCCTTATTTGTTAAATGTGGGGGTTAGGCTGGGTGCTCTCCCACTCTTTCCATTATGGGATGCCACAATTGGTGCATTGAAACTGGGCCATTAGGGCCGGCCCGGTGGCGCACTGCTACAGTGCGCCGCTTGGGAGCGCGGTGGCGCTCCCGCCGGGGGGGCGGATCCCACATACAGACCG